GTGTTTGCAGATGATTTCCTTAATTACTTGCTCCATTATCTTCCCTGGCACAGAAGTTAAACTAACTGGTCTGTAGTTTCCTGGGTTGTTTTTATTTCTCTTTTTATAGATGGGCATTATATTTGCCCTTTTCCAGTCTTCTGGAATCTCTCCCATCTCCCATGATTTTCCAAAGATAATAGCTAGAGTCTCAGATACCTCCTCTATTTGCTCCAGTATTCTAGGATGCATTTCATCAGGCCCTGGTGACTTGCAGGCATCTAACTTTTCTAAGTGATTTTTAACTTTTCTTTCTTTCTTTCTTTATTTATTTGGTGCCTAAATTTTTGCAGTAACAGTTTACAGGTGCTTAGTTTTCTGCCTCTGAGAATTTTCCCTACTCCGATCCTCCCAAATGCTCAAAGGCTCACACCCTACCCCAACCAAGGGGTAAAGACACCCCAAGGCTGTGGCCAAGTCGGCTGACATATGGAGGAAGGTGGGTTCACAGCCCTCCTCACTCCCTGGAAGATGAGTGGGAGGGGGTAGTGGCAGGTTCCCATCTCATTTTCAACCCTCAAGGCATTGGGGTGGCAGGAGAACACAGAGGCCCGTGAAAACTCCCTATGTGCACCTTGCTAGTGTTATCCAAATTATAAGGCCCAAGGGAGGATATGAAACTGCTCTGAACTGTGTTATGAAAATGGTCTGTTTGAGTAATAAAAGTCTGTGCTCTAAGAATCTTGAAATTGCCTGGTAGAAAAGCTACCAAGTGGATGGAAAATTGATTTTGGCATGTATGGAAAACATCTGTGGTTTTACCTGAACCTGGAAGGCATCTGAGTCCCAAGTAGCAGGAGATTTGAACACTCCCAGGTCACTGGTTGAAGAGAGCTCTCTCAGTTTGATGTCAAAGGGGAAAGAGATGTGACAAAGTGGGAATTGTCTGTAATATTTTTATGAACTATCTGTATGATTCTGTATCTGTCACCTTGGCAGCGCTATCTATTGAGGGAAAGAATTTATTTTCTCCCTGGTACTTGGGAGATGAAGGTAGGCATCTCAGACATAGAACTGCTTGGACTTTCTGGGCTGGAATCAACACACTGGAATGGCCAATCCTATAGAGACAATGGATACCACAATGACTAAATATTAACACCTCGCTGCAGCTGAACATGGGAGCACAACATGGCTGTGTCTGGAGAGCAAAGAGGAGCGGTGTCAGGGTTAGGCTAGGAAAAACAGGGTACGCAGACACAGAGCACTGCTGGAATGGGGAGACAAAGAAGACAGGGCAGGTGAGGATGGACCCAGTGACAGCCTGGCTTCTACGCAGAGGAACCATATGCTATGCCTGCCTCTCTCCAGGGCCGGCTCTGGCTTTTTTGCTGCCCCAGGCAAAAAAGCCTCCCACCACCCCCCTGCCCCCCGGCGGGGAGCGCAGCAGGGGAGGCGCCGAGCCCAGCCGCAGCCCCGCTCTCCCCGGCCAGCCAGAGCGCCGGGGGAGGGCGGCCCTGCTCTCCCCGGCCGTCCGGAGTCGCCGGGGGAGGGCGGCGAGCCGCCGCGAGCTCCACTCTCCCGGCAGCCGGAGCGC